GTGGGAAGGGAAGGGGAAAGGGAAGAAGGAAAGAGGAAGGGAAAAGGGGAGGGGAAGTGAAGGAAGGGAAAGGGAAGAAGGGAAGGGGAAAGGAAGGGGAGGGGAAGATAAGGAAGGGGGAAGGGGAAGGGGAAAGGGGAAGGGGAGGGTAAGAGAAGGGGAAAGAGAAGTGGGAAGGGGAAAGGGAAGAAGGAAGGGGGAAGGGAAAAGGGGAGGGGAAGTGAAGGAAGGGAAAGGGAAGAAGGGAAGGGGAAAGGAAGGGGAGGGGAAGATAAGGAAGGGAAGGGGAAAAGGGAAAGGGAAGAAGGAAGGGGGAAGGGAAAAGGGGAGGGGAAGAGAGGGAAGGGGAAAGGGGAAAGGAAAAAGGGAAGTGGGAAGGGGAAAGGAAGTGAAAGGAGGGGAAGTGAAGGAAGGGGAAGGGGGAAGGGAAGGGAAGGAAGGGAGAGGGATAGGAAAGGGAAGGGAAGAGAAGAAGGAGAAAGGGAAAGGGAAGTGGGAAGGGAAGAAGGGGAAGGGGGAAAGGGAAAAAGGAAAAGGGAAGGGGAAGAGAAGGGGGAAGGGAAAGGGAAAGGGGAAGGGAAGGAAGGGACAGGGAAAGGAAGGGGAAGGGAAGAGAAGAAGGAGAAGGGGAAAGGGAAGTGTGAAGGGAAGGAGGGGAAGGGGGAAAGGGAAAAAGGAAAAGGGAAGGGGAAGAGAAGGGGGAAGGGAAGAAAGGGAAGGGGGAAGGAGAAAGAAAGGGGAGGGGAAGGTAAAGGGAAGTGGGAAGGAAAGGAAAGGGGGAAGAGGAGGGAAAGGAAGGGAAAGGGAAGGAAGGGAAAGGGAAGGACATGGCTCCCCTGGTGGAGACCCTGGAATTCTTCTATCCCATCAATCTTTATTAACTTGGAATCCTCTGACTCTCTCACCTCATGTTTTTCCCGTATGAACCTTGAGCTCCAACCCCACAGACAGTGACCAATGGAGTCAGTTTGGGGGGTTTGAACCATTAATGGTATTTTTTCCTGCCTCCTGACGAGTTGTTGGGGATTAAACCACCTTGGGAAAGGTGATGTCACCTGGTGATGTCACTTTACAGTGAAAGGGCCAAACCTGCTTTAAACTGAATTAACAAAATCTCCACTTTTCTTCAGCTTTTTCTTTCTGAGCCACAATTTCCTTCCTCTTGGTCCAATTTTTAGGAGTTTTTTGATATTTAATTAACTGGTAATTGTGCCACGTTCACTATTAATAAAGTAAGAGCTAAAATAATTAATAATGAAGAATTAAAATAATTAATTTCAGTGCCAGGGATTCATATTATTAAGGGTAAATTATTTTTTAAATGGAATAATGGCTTGAGTGAGGGTGGGTTTGTTCTGGTTTCTCACAGCAGTGAATGCAATAAAATGGCATTAATATTTATTAATTATTTTTAAAAGGCAATTACAAAGATTTGGGGGGATAATTGTGTATTAATTAATCACTTGGATCAGGTGGGAGAGGAAAGATGGAGCCAAGAGGGGCAAGAAGGTCTTGGAGTGAGAGTAGAAATTATCTTGAAAAAACAAATACTGGAAAGACATTATTTATTTTATATGAATTTCTTGAATTGATATGGATTTATTTCTTTTATAGGGATTTATTTCTTTTATAGGAACATGGTTGAAGGCCTGGACTTGGTAGAGTTGGGTAATGGTTGGACTCAATGATCTTCAAGGTCTTTTCCAACCAGAACAGTTGTGGGATTTATTTCATAGGAATTTATTTCCTTCTCATTAATATCTTTCCTTTACATGAAATAATCTCCTTGATATGAACTTCAAGGTTGTCCATCCAACTTCCAGGGCAGGTTGGATGAGGCTCTGACAAACCCATGGGTGACCCTGCCCATGCCAGAGGGGTGGGATCTAGATGATCTTGAAGGCCCCTCCAACCCAAACCATTTCAAGATTGATTCTATGATTGTCCAGCCTGGAGAAGAGGAGGTTCCAGGGAGAACTTGGAGCATCTTCCAGGATCTGAAGAGGCTCCAGAGAAGCTGGGGAGGGACTTGGGACAAGGGCAGGGAGGGATGGGATGAGGGGGATGGATTAAAACTGGAAGAGGGAGATTGAGGTTGGACATGAGGAGGAAATTCTTCACCATGAGGGTGGTGAGACCCTGGCCCAGGTTGCCCAGGGAAGCTGGGGCTGCCCCATCCCTGGGGGTGTTGAAGGGCAGGTTGGATGGGGCTTGGAGCAGCCTGGGCTGCTGGGAGGTGTCCCTGCCCATGCAGGGGGTGTTGAAACTAGAAGATCTTCAAGATCCTTTCCAAACCATTTCATGGTCCAAGGCAACATTCACAGCTCAATTAATTTTCAGGAATTCATCACCTCGGAATGTGGTTCCAGTTTGGAAAGAAAAATTCACCATAACCTGCTTCTAACACCTCATTTACATAAATTTACATGGATTCAATTTATTTTTTTTTTTTAATTTTTCCCAATTTCTTCTCCCTGTTCCCTTCAGGTTCTGCCATTCTCCTGACGATGGAAAAGCTGGTTGTCTCCCTACTGGTTATTAGCACAGCTGTGAAGGCCATGATGTGCCCCAAGAGGTGCATGTGCCAGAACCTCTCTCCATCCTTCACCATCCTCTGCACCAAGACTGGGCTCCTCTTCGTGCCCCCCAGCATTGACAGGAGAACAGCAGAGCTGAGGTTGATGGACAACTTCATCACCACCCTGAGGAGGAAGGACTTTGCCAACATGACCAACCTCATCCACTTGACACTCTCCAGAAACACCATCAGTCAGATCATGCCTTATGCCTTCTTTGATCTCAAGGGCCTCCACGCTTTGCACTTGGACAGCAACAGGTTGACCTACATCAACGAGGATCATTTCAAAGGTCTCATTAATCTCCGGCACTTAATCCTCAGCAACAACCAACTAAGCTACATCTCCCCTGGCTCCTTGGATGACTTCATTGAGACCATCGAAGACCTGGATCTGTCCTACAACAATCTGGTCAACGTCCCTTGGGAGACAATTGCCAAACTGTCCAACGTCAACACGGTCAGTTTGGATCACAACCTGATCGAGTTCGTGCCAGAGGGGATCTTCTCCAACCTCCACAAACTGGCCCGACTGGACATGACCTCCAACAAGCTGAAGAAGATCCCTCCTGACCCCTTGTTTTCCAGGATCCCCGTGTACGCCAAGTCCAAGGGATCTCCCCTGACATCCCTGGTGCTGAGCTTTGGTGGGAACCCCTTGCACTGCAACTGTGAGCTGGTCTGGTTGAGGCGTCTCACCAGGGAGGACGACCTGGAAACCTGCGCCTCTCCCCCCGAGCTGATGGGCAAGTACTTCTGGTCCATCAAAGAGGAGGAGTTTGTCTGTGAACCCCCCATGATCACCCACAGGACCCCCAAGCTGACGGCGACCGAAGGCCAAAGCATCTCCTTGAAGTGCAAAGCTGTGGGTGACCCCGACCCCTACGTGCGCTGGATCTCCCCCGATGGGAAGTTGGTCTCCAACACCTCCAGGACGGTCTCCTTTGAGAACGGCACCTTGGACATCCTGGTGACCTACCTGACAGACAAAGGCACCTTCACCTGCATCGCCTCCAACGCAGCAGGAGAATCCACAGCTCCCGTGGAGCTCCTGGTCAACCCCTTCCCCAACCTGGCCAACAGCACCCACTGCGAGAAGGACGCGGAGCCCGGAGCCTCCGACATCCTCATCTCGGCCAAATCCAGCTTCCCCAACGAGACCAAGGCCCCTGAGGAGCAGGGGGTGGTGGTGGCCGAGCTGACGGCCTCCTCAGCCCTCATCCAGTGGCCCCCCCAGCCCCAGCTCCCCGGGATCCGCAGGTTCCAGCTCCAGTACAACAGCTCGGCCGACGACATCCTGGTCTATCGGTGAGCAGGGGGGAGGGACAGGCCCTGGACATGCAGGGGAAGCTCCTGGGTCTGATCTTCTGCCTTGAATTCGAATTTTTTTTTTTTTTTTTTTTATTCTTCTTTTTCCGTGTTCTTTTCACTTCAATGATCATTTTCTGATTTGTTTTAGGGTTTTTTTGTGATTATCATTTTAGGGTTTATTTGACGGTCTTTTCTTTTCGAAGGGTCAGAGAAGGGTTTGGGTTGGAAGGACCCTGATGTTAGGTTTTACTTGAGATTTTATATTAGCTTTTAATTTGTTATTTTATTTTTATAGAATCATAGAATCCTCCTCCCTCCCCAGCCCCTTCTCCTGCATCTCCAGCCCCTTGTGCTCCTGCATCACCAGCCCCTTCTCCTGCATCTTCAGCCCCTTCTTCTGCATCTCCAGCCCCTTCTCCTTGCTCTCCAGCCCCTTCTCCTGCATCTCCAGCCCCTTCTCCTTGCTCTCCAGCCCCTTCGCCTTGCTCTCCAGCCCCTTCTCCTGCATCTCCAGCCCCTTCTCCTTGCTCTCCAGCCCCTTCGCCTTGCTCTCCAGCCCCTTCTCCTGCATCTCCAGCCCCTTCTCCTTGCTCTCCAGCCCCTTCGCCTTGCTCTCCAGCCCCTTCTCCTGCATCTCCAGCCCCTTCTCCTTGCTCTCCAGCCCCTTCGCCTTGCTCTCCAGCCCCTTCTCCTGCATCTCCAGCCCCTTCTCCTTGCTCTCCAGCCCCTTCGCCTTGCTCTCCAGCCCCTTCTCCTGCATCTCCAGCCCCTTCTCCTTGCTCTCCAGCCCCTTTTCCTCACTCTCCATCCCCATTCCTTGTTCTCAGAGCTAAAAATCCCCCCTTTCCCTTTCAGTTCCCACAGGAAGGAGTCACCAAATGGAATCATAAGGCCCTTTAGGTTGGAAGATCTTGAAGATCATTACAAAATAGCTTCTTAGAGGCAGTTTGGGGACTCTTGGTGTGGCCGAGCCCCATCCCAAGCTCCATGTTTGTCCCGAGGAGGGGAAATTCCTCCTGCCCAGAGTGTGGTTTATTTTTGGCAGGGGAGAGCCTGGGAGGGGGTGCAGGAGGCAGCAGAAACCTGTCGCTATCGTCAGGAGCGGTTGCCATGGCAACTTGGCTTCACCTTGGGAATTTAAGTTGGTCCTTTAACTCCTTGATCTATTTATTTTTTTTCATCTCCTGCTGGGGACGTATTTGTGGATCATCTGGGAATTATGGAGTGGTTTGGGTTGGAAAGGTGGTTAAAGCTCATCCAGTCCCAACCCCCTGCATGGGCAGGGACACCTCCCACCAGCCCAGCTCCAGGCTCCATCCAACCTGCCCTGGAACCCCTCCAGGGATGGGGCAGCCACCTCCAAGATCATCTAGATGGTCTTCAAGGTCCTTTCCAACCCAAACTACCCCATGATCTAAAGCTGTTCCAGTCTCAACCCCCTGCCATGAGCCAGGACACCTCCCAGCAGACCTGGGGACTCCAACCCCATCTGGGGAGTCACAGGGAGTTGGAAGAACCTTCAGAGACCACTCAGTCCCACCCCTTGCACGGTCCCACCAGCCCAGGTTGCTGCAAGCCCCATCCAACCTGCCCTTGGAGCCAGGGGTGGGGTCTCCACAGCTTCTCTGGGCAACCTGGTTCTCACCACCCTCACGCTGAAGAATTTCCTCCTCACGTCCAACCTCCACCTCCCCTTTTTGAGCCTCAAACTCTTCCCCCATCCCCTCCAGCCCCTCCCAGCTCATTTTAGACCTTCCCACCAGACGTGGCGGGGCCGGTTCCAACTTCTCCTCACACACCAGATGTCACCATCACGCTCCCAAGCTGGCAACGTGTCACCTTGTCCCCAAGAGTGACAGTTCTGCCCTTTCAACAACCACACTTGGTTGCCAAGACTCCACCTTCTCCATTCCCAAGGCTTTTTTTGGGGGGGGGAGGAAAACATGGACAGATTTTTTTACCAGCCCTTCTGGGCAAGACTGAGTCTCCCAATTACTGCTAGAAAAGCCATTAAAGCCTCATCAAATTTCTGCTGTGGAGCTGCAGCTAATTAGAGTCAGATGATCACCAATTATCAAAGATTAAATTAATGAATTGCTGAGGAGAACGTTGACTTTGATGTTGGGAGATCTGGCTGCTCATTGGCTGGGGCCTCCATCAGATTGTTCTGAAGCTACAAATGGAGGTTTTTTCCAGAAGGATTTTAATCTGTTTTCAATTTTTCTGGCCATTTAATTTCCTGACCTATCACCAGGGCTCCTCACCCAAGTCCTTCTCCTCTTCTCCCACCTCATCCAGGCTTTGTGGGGCTGGAAATAGTGTTTTTATTTATTTTTTGCCCCAGAAAAGGTGGTAGAAATCCAATCCAATTTTGACCACTCACTGGGGAAGGAGGTTGGGTGGTGGAAGTCCAAGAGTTGTGGTCAACGGGTCCATGTCCAGATGGGACCAGTAAGGAATAGTGGTTTCCCAGGGACCATCTTTGTTGGTGACATGGACAGTGGGATTGATGCACCCTCAGCAAGTTGACTGGTGGGGACACCAAGCAGGGGGGACATCCAGAGGGACCTGGACAGGGTGGAGAGGTGGTGGGACCATGTCAACCTCATGAAGTTCAACCAGGTCAAGGTCCTGGGCCAGGGCAATCCCAAGGTTGGGTGAAGAATGGATGGAGAAGAGCCCTGGGAAGGACTTGGGTGGAAAAGAGACCTGAGGGGAAGGATTTGGGGCTGTTGGGTGAGGAGAACCTCAGCGTGGGCCAACAATGTGCCCTGGAGCCCAGAAACTGTGTCCTGGGCTGTGTAACCAGCAGGGCCAGGAAGGGGATTGTTCCCCTTTGGTGACACCTGGAGAAATGGGGCCAGTTCTGGAGCCCCCAACACCAGAAGGACACGAAGCTCCTGCAGAGAGTCCAGAGGAGGCCACGGAGATGGAGCAGCTCTGCAGACAGGCTGGGAGAGCTGAAAAAACAGAAGGGATGAGGTGGAGAACCTCAGGGGATGAAGACATGGTGCAGAAAAGCATCTGAGTGACAGGAATGGAAAGGAAACCCCACTAAAAACAGTGTTTTTCTGGTTTTTAGGAGCAAGCACATCTGGAGAGGGAGGGATAATTGCAAAAATTATGCAAATTACTGGTTTTCCAGCTGAATGTCCCCATTATTTGCCTCATTCAGCAGGTCTGGGTGCTCAACCAACCAACTCCCTGCCAGGAATGATTGTCAGGATTATTCAGATGTTGATTTGGCTGATGAAATTTGACTAATTAGGGTGGGATGTGACGTGTGGCCCCCCCCAAATAATGTGATAGTCACCAAAAAGAGGAGATTTTGAGTCAAGGCCACCTGGGCAAATCATCTCTATGGGCATTGAATAAGGACAACTCATGGAATGGTTTGGGTTGGAGGGACCTCAGAGATGATCTAACCCCCACCATGGGCAGGAACATGGGCAGGGGGTGTCCCTGCCCGTACAGGGGGGTTGGATCTAGATCATCTTTAAGGACCTACCCAGGGTTGTTGTGGTTGAAGGTGCCAACCATGTTGTCCCGAGTTGTAACGTTTAGGGGGCTCCTTCTTGCCCTTGGAGGGGGAGGGTGGGAGCTTCGTGGGGAGAAAATATGGGCACCATCCTGGGATTGGTTGGTTTGGAAGGGACCTTAAAGACCATCCAGTCCAACCCCCCTGTCAAGGGACACCAGCCCAGGTTGCTCCAAGGCCCAACCAGCCTGGCCTGGAACCAGGGATGGGGCCTCCACAGCTTCCCTGGGCAACCTGGGGTCTCACCACCCTCAAAAAACAGAACAGCTTCTTCAAGTCCAGCCTCAGTCTTGCTCTTCCAGTTTTAATCCATTTCTCCTCATCCCATCACTCCATCCCCTTCTCCCAAGTCACTCTCCAGCTTTCCTGGAGCCCCTCCAGGGGCTAGAAGTACCTACTGGAGGTACATGATGTTACTTCAGGCACTGGAAGGTGCTCTAAGGTCTCCTCACAGCCTTCTCTTCTCCAGGCTGAACCAGCCCAGCTCTCTCAGCTCTTCAACTAGAGCAGGTTCCTCAGAGCCCCATCCAGCCTGACCTTGAATGTCTTCAGGGATGGGGCCTCCACCACCTCTCTGGGCCAGCGTCTCACAACCCTGATAGTGAAGAACTTCCTGATGTCCCATCTAAACCCAACCTTGCTCTGATTTCAGACACATTCAATCTAAACTCCCCCCTGTTCTGGTTCCAGACCTGCTGCTCTCCCAGCGTCCCCGGCGGCTCCGGCCGCCGCAAAAACTCTCCTTCAGGCTTTTTCCCCAAGTTGAGTCTGTTTTGCCCATTTTCTTTTCCAGGATGATCCCAGCTGGTAGTAAATCCTTCTTCTTGACTGATCTGGTTGCAGGACGTGAGTACGACCTGTGCGTCCTGGCCGTGTACGACGACGGGGCGACCTCCCTGCCGGCCACGCGGGCGATCGGCTGCGCGCGCTTCACCACCCGGCAGGAGCACAAGCACTGCCGCTCCCTCCACGCCCAGTTCCTCGGGGGCACCATGATCATCATCATCGGGGGCATCATCGTGGCCTCGGTCCTCGTCTTCATCTTCATCCTCCTCATGAAGTACAAGGTCTACAACAACCACCACAAGAACAAGGCCACCAAAGTCAGCAACGTCTGCTCGCAGACCAACGGCAGCCAGAGCGGCTCCATGGCCAGATCCACCTCCAAGCTCTCTGTGGGGCTGCACCAGGAATGTCCAGGCTCTTCCAGCAGAGGCAAAACTGTCGTGGACTTGGATGGTGACAAAGTGACTCCAACCAACACGACCTTCTTAACAACTGAGGTGGGATCTTAAGGACCCTGGAGCAGGAAGAGGCCCTGGCCGGACACGAGCGCTTCAGTTTCGCGCTTCACGACTCTTTGTCTATTTTTAAGATCAGATGGTTTAAACAAAACAAAAAAAACACACACAAAAAAAAAAACACAAAGAAAAAAAAAAAAGGCTATTTTTTTAATCTGTAAACACTTCTTGCATTCTTAACTATTTTGGTTCCAGATATTAAATATAAGTGGGTGTTTTACACCGTTTTTTTAACCGCTTCTTTTTTAGCCTCCACCTCGAGGAGCTCAAATTCTACCAGGTTTTTGCTTTGTCGTTGTTGTTGTTTGTTTTTTTTTAACCAACCAGCAGCAAAATGGTTCTCTCAGGATCCTCCAGCTTCCTCTGCTCACCCCCCACCCCCACCCCCAGCTTTTCCAGGGATTTGTTAGGAAAAAAAACCCCCACGTCGATCTCCAACCCCGGTTTCGCCGCGGGCGCGTTGGGGCTCGAGCAGGAGGCAGAACTGGCTGAGGCTCCTCCCAGAAAACAACCAACAACTCTGGGAAAATGTTTCTCTTCCATTAAAGTTGTCTCAGTTTTGGGAAAAAAAAAATTGACAAGGATTTGGTGCATTTGTTTGGAAATTGGGTTCATTTTCGGGCTGCGCGAGCGGATAAACAATGATATCCAAGTGTGTGTTTGTGTGTAGAGAAATATAAAGGATGTGTGGTTATTTGGCATGAAAATGTGGTTAAAAAGATTTAACAATAGAAATATGTTTATATTTCAAATATAATATATATTGAAATGTATAAATATATATTATATTTAAATATAATATAGAAAAATAGGTGTAAATAAGAACATATTTAAATATATCAACATACAGAAGTATCTATTAATATACTTATATTAAAGATATTTAATATGTATTAAACATATTAAAACATAATATATGAATATATTTATCTTTAAACAATATAAATATTTATATTATACATATTAATATATTAATATATAAGTTGATCTACATTTATTTTATATTTATTTAATATTTTAATTTCTATTTGTTCATTTGATGTTTATAAATATAGATGAATATATTTACAAATATACTTGTATAAATATATTCATATACTTATATAGTGATATTTATAATAGTAACATTATTTATAATGTGTATATTATTGATAATATTTCTACTATTTATTTATAATATGCTTATAATATATGGCTAAACTATATAAATATATAATATATCTATAGATATATATAAATATAAACATATATTTATATATAAAAATATATATAAACAAAAAACAATTTAACTAATTAGCACTTGCCTATATTTTAATCTATCAAAATGGTAAAGATATTAAATACATTCAAGAGGAAAGACAGTTAAATATATCCAACTATTAACTCTATTAAATATAATTATTAAATGTATTAAGCATTGACTACATGAAATATATTAAATATTTAGTAGATTGGGCTATTAAATAAATTAAAAAATTAAATTAAAACTATTACCACTATTAACTAGTAAATATATTCAATATTATTTAAATTAACTATTGCCATAATTAACTACTAAATCAATAGTTTATATTTAAATATATGAATATATTAGAAATTTATATGTTTCAATTTTTATTCATATATTCAAATCTGGTTTTCAACCAGCTTTTCCAAAGTGTCTGAGGAGCTGGTGACCTCACTAACCTGCTGGTGACCTCACCCATGTCCTCACTAACCTGCTGGTGACCTCACCCATGTCCTGGTGACCTCACTAACCTGCTGGTGACCTCACCCATGTCCTCACTAACCTGCTGGTGACCTCACCCATGTCCTGGTGACCTCACTAACCTGCTGGTGATCTCAGTGTCCCCCTCACTGGTTGGTGGTTTTTTTGGGGTGTTGTCCTGGTACCAAACAAGAGAAACCAGGAAGATCTTCCATTTATTAAATATACAAGATTTCAAACATATATCTTAAATACTTAATATATAAAATTATTAAGTATATTTAACATTAAATATATTAAACTATTAAATAAACTAGATATCAGATATCTTAAATAATTAATATATACAATTATTAAATATCTTTAATATTAAATGTATTTAACTATTACATAAACTAGATATCAAATAAATACTTAATACATAAAATTATTAAATATCTTTAATATTAAATATTTTTAACTATTAATAAGCTAGATATCATATAGATATATTACAGTTAGAAATCTACAATTATTAATATAATAATATTGAATATATTGAACTATATAATATAAATGTAAATATATAATA